AAAGAAAAGAAAGGCCATCCTTTTATGCCACTAGCACCAAATCATTGGTAAATAGCACAAGCAAGTGCTTATGAGGAGGCTGAATTTTGTACAAGCAATCAACTTCATATTTGAGTATACTGAGCACAGTGAACAAGTTCATCATGGAAGTCGGTGCAGGGTATTATTTTTATTGAACTTCTTTCAATATCCTGATGACAAAATTGAGCTAAGGTCCTCCTGCTCTCACAATTTCAAAGATATGTCAGAAGGGTTAGAAGGTGGAAAAAAAGGTAAGATTAATGTCTGTAGGATTCTAGAGCTACTGCTGTCAACACTACCTGAGGTCTTCCAACACATGGTGTGCACACTCACATACCTAGAGAGAGGAATAGAAAGAAGATACCAAGGAGATATTTCTCCAATATGTAATTTAATTTTGTGCCTAAGAGTAAAATTTAAGATATATCTGTTACCTTTCAGAAAGTCATATTCACAGAATCACAGAATCACAGAATCACAGAATCGCAGAATCGCAGAATCAAAGGGGTTGGAAGGGACCTCAAGAGATCATCTAGTCTAACCCCCCTGCCAAAGTAGGTTCCGTGCACCAGGTTGCAGAGGAAAGTGTCCAGGCGAGTTTTGAAGATCTCCAGGGATGGAGACTCCACAACCTCTCTGGGCAGCCTATTCCAGTGCTCTGTCACCCTCACAGTAAAGAAGTTTTTCCTTAAGTTTGTCTGGAACTTTTGGTGTTCCAGTTTTTGCCCATGGCCCTTGTCCTGTCACAGGGTACTACTGAAAATGCCCGGGCCCATTCATTTGGACCCCGCACTTCAGGTATTTATAGACATTGATAAGATCCCCTCTCAGTCTTGTCTTCTCCAGGCTGAAGAGTCCAAGATATCACAGGCCCCTAATCATCTTTGTGGCCCTTACAAGGCTGCTAGACAGAAGGAGCCTTACTGTTGAAGTACAACAATACAACCGGCACTGCTCTCCAAGAATATACACCAAATATTGTAATCATTAAGGCTTTTTTTTTTTTTTTTTAAATTTTGAACAGCTCAGAAAAGCTTTTCAATCAGCAGATTACTTTAAAAGCAAAGATTCAAGCTCAACAAACAGTTCTTAACACAAGTACTATAGTTGAAATAGTCAATATTCAATCCAAAAGTTACCAAAGGTTGGTCATGATTCCTCTTCATAGAAGCCATTTCTTCCTAGAAATGTTATTTATTATAGATACTAGCTATAATACTGTAATTTAAGTACAGTTTGAGACTGTAGTAAGTCTCAAATAGTGCTATTTCTTTATGCTTTTAGTAGTTTTCTTTCATGAACAATTATTTTCTAAGAGAAGTTTGGCACGCAGCCTCAATGGCAAGACTTCATGCTACACATGCAAGCACAGAACCTCTGTTTGTTTTAACGTATTACCTCTGTAACACCCAGAAAAGACATACTGCAATGATTTCAGACCCTCTAAGGGCCACCTATACACAGACATGGTAGAATATTCAATAAATGTAACATAGATATAGAAAAACTAGTGCAAAATACTGCAGCCATGCAGTTTCTGCAGTTTTAAAGTAGCACAGGCATACTCATGCTTGGCTTAAGTCAACATGAAAAAAATCTTTGCTTAAATCACAGATGAAGTGGTCTACTCTATCTGTGTTTAAACTAATGGGTTTTAAGAAATACCTTACTTTAAAATAGTGGTAGTGTGTATAAGCCTTCAGCTTCATAGGCCACAAAGGCCATTAGACCTTAATATGTCTACGGCAATATTATGGACTGACTATACTCTGTGTTCAGCTTGTTTTTAATAAATTGAAGACTGTTGCAGCATAATAGTATAATAGTTTTCATTTTGATCAAATTTAATCATTACTGGAACTCCATCTCATCAACACAATTACAGTAAGGAATTAATCTGCCCTCTTAATGACAAACTTTTTTTACTTTTGGGAGATTCATACTAGTGCAGCTTCCAGCACCTGAGCTGGCTTAGCTCCACCTGTAGGACAACTCACCAACACTGGCTCACCCTCTGTGCAAATCACCCAAATGCCAAAGCCTTCAGGAAGTGTTATAACAGAAAAATCACAAATAAGACATGAAATTATCATTCAGAAGAGTAACAGGGCAAGAAGAAGATATCCCAAAGTTTCAAAATAAAGATCTTTATTTCAAAATAGTGTTTGAGAATAGCACATCCAGTTGGTATAAAATACAAATAGCAAGTTACCATTTTTTCAAATTGGTCAGTTTGCAGAACTATACACTGAAACACTGTACAAGTTCACAAGAACTGTTATAAAATAGACAGTTCTGATGTTTTAATTTTATTTAAACTATATTTTCACATTTGTCTCCTTCTAATTCTACTTGTTTTAATTACACAAGGTGCTTACAAGATTGGGTATAGAGAAAATTACAAAACAGAATTTAACATAAATACAGAAAGGAATTCCTTAAAACTACATACTAATATTCTCTGCTATGAAGATACATTTTACAAAAGTGCTAATATCACTATGACAAACAGTAGCAGATTACATTTAAATGTCAGACAAATCACATAATTTTTTTTTTTTTCAACTGACCATAATACTTTGATACTCTAATCACTATGAGGGTTAATAAACATTAACTTCCTAGTATTTCACAAATGAAATGGGAAAAGAAAAACTATATCTGCATATGTGTGTGTGCGCGCATACATGTGAGACAGAGTGTACACACACACATATATGCATGAACAAAGTTCTGGTAATTATTATAATTATTATTTGTATTTTAACAGTACTGCTCTGTACAAACCCTTGTTTCTACTTACAAGAACTCAGAGGGGGGGTTTTTTTATTTATTGAAATTATGAAAACCTGGGAAATATATTTACTATCAAGCATTGTGATTGGTATTTTCTTTTTTTTAAAAACTATCAGCCTGTGGTAAAAGTAATTTTTACTAACATCCAGCATTCACTAAAAGGTTGATATGCAAATATGCCATTTTCGAAGCACAAAACTGGAACTGCTCTGGCAGGACATGGACGTCAGGGTAGGACAGGAGACTGGAAGTCTTCTTCCCCACCCCCAAAAGCACAATCAGACAAGAAAAAGCCATAGTTCACCTCTCCATGACCAGAAGGACACAGGGAAGGACAGTTCATGGTGCTGCCTAGCCCCAAAGAGCATGTCCCCACCATCACAGTGTCAACCATGGACCTACAATGGGCGAAGCGCTGTCTAGACTTTTTCCAAGGTGCATTGAGTCCCAGTGCTCACTGTGATGCCCCCAATTTCCCCAGAGGCATTATACCTTACAAAGGCAAAATGCCTCCAGGCACTGCCACTCAACCAAGGCACCTCTTCCCCCTTCCCAATGTGGTTCAGTCTTTTAGGAGTCATAATTGAGCCCCATGGGCCTGATTCTGAGCTCAGGGAATTTATCAATTTAACTATATGATTCCTTATTAGCCTGCCTATTACCATAATATCTTTGTGCTCTCTAGCTGGAGTTAAACCAATGGAAAATTCTGACATTAATGGAAATGCACTTAGTTTATGCAACACAGACCAGAATCTGGCCAATATATGGGAAAAAAAACCAATATTATAAGAATACATTCTTGTAGTAACTATCAAAAAACAGATAAGAAACCTTCTGAGTAAATCTGCATCACATCAGAATACACCACAATATTGCAGATGTTAAGGCACAATACACAACACCTCCCAGCTCCCTAGAATAGTTGAGGATTTGGCTGTTACCTTTAGCGGTAACTTGCAGTAGTAGGCACTACTAGCCAGTGTTCACAGGGAGAAGCTTTGGTTAATATCAGACCATTTGTTGACTTAGCTTGACACTCCTGTGATCATTGTCACATTTGCATAAACTGAATTCACTACAGAGGAAAGAGACATCTATGGTCAATTCACTCAACAGAAATACGCTATTGGCTATCAGTGACTTGTAACAAGGCCTGAAGTTACGAGATCCAACAATCTACAAATGGGAAATCGGGAGTGTAGATAGGAAAGTTTAAGTATGTGAGATCAAGATGTGTAGGTGGTTTACAAAGAAACCACCTACAGACATGGAGGGGAGAAACTAGCAGATGGTAAAGAAAATGGGTACTATTATTCCCTAAATCTGGGAATGCCATCAACCTTTCTATGTGTTAGATGAAATTAATTTCACAACTATAATGACAAAGAGAGATTCTTCTCAGAAAACCTTAATGGTATAATAGGAAAAAAGTTTCCCACTGTATTTTGAAACATTTTAAATCACAATCTGTTTATTTTTAAAGGATATCAAACATTTCTAAAATGACTTTTTTTTTTTTTTTACAGTTATTTAAAAATAACATTTAAAACATATCTGAGAATAAACATTTTTGCATCTGCTTTTTGCATTCAATGACAGAATTCCTTGATCAAGGTGGTTTTAGTTTGATCTTTATACGCTGTTTAAATTCTGACATCCTCTGCAGATCTTTCTCAGACAATGAAGAAATAAATACTAAGTTATGTGATACTGACTCTAAAGGCACAAACAGTGACAGGTTCACTTAATGTAAATGTTTAGATTACCAACCTGAATTCTGATAATTTCCCTTTTATAGCCACATTTTGAAGATCTGTTAGTTTATTAGTTAGTCTAAGGATATAATTCATGTCTACACAGCTTTCCAAAATCCCTTTCTAAAAAGAAGCATTTCAAGTAATGTTAGTACTGAAGTAAAATATAAGTTCTCTGTTTTGTCTTGATTGATGAATGGAATCTTGGTACTCTAGTCCATGGCAAAACTTACATGGACTTTAGTTTGCCAAATCTTCCCATAGCATCAAAACTGACAATGGAAAATGCCAGGAAACTCTCTCAAACCAATGAGCTATTTAAACCAAAGAAATATTGCCAATGTGACCACTGTAGCAAAACCAACAGTAGATTCCTGATGCTGACTTTTGCCTTAAGTTTAAAATAACAAAGCAAAGTCATTTTCAACCCAAAGATATTGAAATAAAGACATTTTGCTTTTCAGAATGCCTGTAAAGTCACGTTATGCATAGAGGCATTTGACCATTTAAACATTAAAGTAGGTAAAGGTAAATACTTAAGGCTTTGCCCTGTAACCCCTTCTCTGACCAAAACCTGTCATTCAATTTGAATGGGAATTTTGCCCTCATACAACCTGCAATATCAGGCCTATAATTTGGTTTCAATAAAGTCTTCCATTTGCAAAGCCAAAAGGAAGCTGGAATGTAGCTTGAGCTTCACATACAAAACTACACAATTTGTGTTAGAATACAGATTTGAGGATTGCTTTAAAAAAACCCAAAATTATATATAGGGAATTAACAGTGCAATATCAGTTGGTTGTGTGAAAATCTTACCTTGTCTTTCTTCAAATGTATTTAAAGAGAAGCTCTCCAGTTTTATAGAGAATAAAATAAAACAGGATAAATATTTCAGGATGGGAAGCAGATCCCACAGCATTCCATGCAGATCTCCAAGCAATCTGAAGATTCACAACATGCGTCCATTATGCCACAGTCCATGTCACATGGGCAGTTACAGTCATCCCCCATCTCATCCCCACAGCAACAGCAGCAGGCCTCCGATGTGCAGATGCCACAGGATGCTTGTCCCAGAACAATGTTACAGAGGGTGAGAAATTCACAGAACAAGCAAGCCAGGATACAGTGAACACAGCAATCTTCATAGTACCAGTTCAGTAGCATGTCATGTATGAACAAACAGGACAAAGAAACAAAAACAAAAGTAAAGAAAAAAGAACAAATCATTAATATGTTAATTCTAAATCCAGATATATAACAATGTAAAATAAGCAGCTGAAAGATAATGATTCAGAATAGACATACTCTAACACCACAAAGAACATGTTTTCTATTTTCAAGGTCACTTCTGCAGCCTAACTTGTCTCCAGTTCAGTACTGGTTTTGGTGCAAATTTCCTCTCCTCATTTCACTTCATGCAAATCCCAAATACTAAACATCTGCTTAGATCCATTTTTCCAGTCATTTATTACGTAAAATATCTGTATCTAACATCTTCAGTCATAACTTCTTCCAGCAAGACCACAAGTGATTTAAAAAAAAAAAAAAAAAAAAAAAATCAGCTTACGAAGGAAACTAAAACTATTTCCAGCCTCAACCTGTGCATCTTGCCCTTCTGAATTTGCTTTGTTTGGCTTGATGGTTACAAAGAAAAATAAGGGAGTTGCCATATCATCTTTGCTTTCTTTACAGTTTTAGACACACCTTAAACCCACCATAACAGTATGTCACATGTATTTCTGTACTTTCAAAAATATATAAAACATTCCATCAAAACACAGATTTTTCTATTGCTTTTCTACACAAATCTCTGGGCAGTCCTATTAAAGTACTATTTTAATCTTCAATAGAGTTCACAACCACATAAACAATAATATTCATCTCACATAAATACTGCTCAATTACATGAGGTAATTGAGGGAGTGTCCCACAAACTTTCAGCAAAAAATATGGCACCCAAAGACTAAATATATGGAATAACTTCAAACAATTCATACATCCATGACTCATGTCAGGCAAACAGAAAGACTGCAACTAAACATGCACTAGTGAAAAGGAGACTACAGGAGTGAGGGATATACAGTTTTCACTCTCTTCCCATAGTAAGCATGTAATGTGTATAAAGGACATGTAATTTGGAAGAGGCAGTGAAAAGAAAGAAAATGAAAACCGAAAAATACAAGTGTTCATGCTAGAGAACACAGTTCTTTCCTAGCCTCAGTTTTCATTCTTTTTACTGCTTGCAAGCCATGAACTCCTTTAGCCACAAATAGTTGAAGACTGAGAAAATGTTCTGGGTAAAATATCCTGCACCATCTCACCTTTTCCTTGTCCATACAATCTACGATAAGTATCTGCTAGGAAAGGCCAGCAGGAAAGACTGGATATTGAGCTATATAGGCATTTGATTTGACCATCTACAAATGTTACGTTCTTACAGTTCACAGGCTGGAGACTGTTATCATAGGGGAAAGACTGCAAGTACTTGCAACAGGAATACAACTACCAGGCCTCCTAAACACACTTATAATGTCAAAAATGGTGGAGTAACCATGGCAAGTATCTTGATTGATTCAAAGTATCTCTAACATTGCAGAAACTCAGACTGCAGGATAGCGTAGAGATAACTTTCCCTGAGCAAGCACCAATACTTACAGCAATGCAGTGACAGGCTCAGACTTGCAAAATCTGTCCCAAGGTGCAAAGTATCTACCTGAGCTTTTAACCTGCACTAAACACCACACTGCTGAGGACTGATTTCTCGTACTTACTACACTACTTAGATCCAAACAGCTATGGAATAACTATATTGCAATGTGGTCACTGTCATAACACACATAATGAATATTTATGTCCAAAAGAAAAAACAGAAATATCAGGAAAAGCAAGGAAAAAAAAAAGTAACCTCAAAAACTCCCTACTACTGTGCAGGAAGCAAACTAAGAGGGAACCAAAGGTAAAACTGAGCTGTCTTTAAAGAAAGTTGTTGCCTGTATTAAAAAGCTGCTTTTCCCAAAGAAATACTGTCATTAAATAAATGACCTTCATAGAAAACCCAGAAGATATGTGAAATAAAGCTGGGGAGTATTAGTTCACTGAAGAGGACGAAAGTCAGACCAATAGCGATTAATTAGCTGGTTGTCATGGAGATGGTGTTAAATTTGTTCAGGTACAATCTCCTTTCAGATTTTCTTTTAATATGAAGGAAAAAGATAAAGAAGCCAAGAGTTCTGTCTAAGAAGTCTTCATATTTGAGGAACTGAGGTTTTTACTATTTTGCATCTTTAAAACAAAACTAAAAGAAGCTAATACCACAATGAATTTTTTTCTACAAATGATTTTTTTAAACAAAACAACATAAAAAACTTTATGTGTATCAGTATTGAAAACAAGACGCTCAAACAAATCTCACCTGCTTCATGCAGGGATATGTAAAATTCCAGGGAGAGAAATAAACATTCACAGAAATTATAATATACCTATATACTGATGGACAAGAGATAGAATTCACAGATTAAACAAAAGAGACTGCACTCAGAAAGCACTTTCTGGACCCACAAGAGAACTTTTCCCTCCTAATCTAAAAAAAGCACTAAATCAATACTTACAGGGAGAGTCAGTGTTGATCTAAATAAAGGTATTTCAAAGGTAAAAGCTATCAAAAATGGTGCAAGACAGAAAAATTTTTACTATTAGTGCTATGATGGAACCTCTGTGGAGGGTCTTTCTTTACATCTCTTCTTCACTGACTGAAACACTAAAAAGGATTTATTTACCTATTGTTTATTTTTATTTCCTTCTCCTCAAATTGCAAAACTTATTTTCCATTTAGAAAGTCTATATAACAATTGTAGTTAACCTACACAAACACTTAACACAAAGTAGAGATACTCTTTACTGCTCTCTTCATTCTTGCAATGACTCATTTGTACAATGAACATAAACTTTGATCCACATTTCAAGGACAAACCTGAAATAATCATGCTTTTATATTCTTCATGTTATTGACTTTTAATAGCTATCCAGGTAGCAATTATTTAACACATGACAAAGCATGCTGTTACCTAGCCTTACCTAGCTTGCTGAATTAAAAATTATGACTCCAAAGGGCTGTAATACATTTGGATAAAATGGGTGGAAGAATAATTTCTTCCATGTATGACTCCTAATTCTTAGCTTCTTATCTACAGATGTAATTATAAGGAAAAGGAAAAGATACAGTCAAAATGGGGTTTTTTGTAATAATAACAAACCTACACAGTACACAAAACTCATACATCCTTCTCTAGTACCTATATTCCTACAGCAACCTGTCCATTCCATAGAAAAAATTATACAGTTAAATTCACCTCCTTGGGTTGCTGTTGCAGGGTGTCATGACCAGTACAATCCAGCCATGAAGAAGATGCTATATAAAATTCACTGCTTGCACAATACTCCCTAATAATTCTTTGCTGCTTCTAGGACCAAAGAGATTATTTTAAATTACAGATTATTTTAAATTTCAAAACTATTTTAACATGTTAAGAATAAAGTCTATACTTAGCTTGTAGTCTCTGACCTTACCATATCAAAATCCTGGTAATTTTTGCAGGTGAGTGAGTAGTGGAACACATGAATCCAAATGGAACGAAACTTAATTTATGTATTTGGGAAGACTTTGGAAAAGAAAGCAAATGTTATTATCTTAATGTCTGGCATCATGTTTTCTGGAAACCTTGAATATATTTTAGTCTTTTCAGATAAAGATATGATATAGCAATATTGCTTATGATATTGTATTACTGTAAAGAAAGGCTAGCTTAAAATTATCTACTTCTTTACTTTCTTTTATTTTGGATTGAGAATTGGAGATTTTCTCATTCTTCTTTCCCCATTAGATATATTAATGCAATTAAGAATTAGGGGTATGTCTTTACCAAGGACCAAACTCAGTTTGCCTTGATGTTCATGATGTGGCATTGTTGATAAATAGTTAACTCCCAAGTTTCTTGGGGTTTAAGTTTTCATTAAATACTTTCAGAGAAAAAGAAGAAATCAGCCTGTGTTTCATTACAAAAGCCCAGCATTAATGAAGATTAGCTTTTCCTTAGGACTTCAGCACTACACCACATCAGTCTCAAATTTCCATTGTTTTTCAAGTCTTCTATTACACTTTTTTCTAATTAATGTAGAAATGGTGCACAACTGACCAGCACTACACAAAAGTGAGGATGTGAGGTGTCAAACACTGTACAGAGGTATACTTCATACAAAAAATCCCAAACAAAACAGTCCATCTGTCTTAGTTCCTTAATCAAATGCATTTGATTTCATCAAAACACAGTATTGCATTCATTGGCTACCACCAAAGCTCCCAAAAATTATGCTGAATGGCATAAATTAGGATAGGCTTGGTCTGTGGGCAGTGATAGTATATTTTATTACATCAACTCACAGTTGGGAAAAAGGATGAGCTTTCAGACACAAAAGCTTATCTTCTATTATACTTTCATTCTGACTGGGATGAAAGTTAGACTTGAAGTTAAAAGGGTCATCCCATGAAGCATTTTTAATTACTGATGTAAGTAAAGCTGTTTCCTTAGTCCTTTGGCACATACCCAAAAGTTACAGATTTGTTAGGGAACTTCATCAAAATTGTAAAACAATGCCAAGGCAAACAGAAACCCTACCAACTCATCCAAGTTTTTGCTACTTGTATCACACCTGCACATCCAGCTACTTTGTGCTGATTTAACCAAAGTATGTATACACTACCAGTAACATCTACTGTAACTGGGTTATAAATCTTACCACAGAAAATATCCAGACAGGAAATAGCCTAAAATCCTTTAAAACTGTTTATACACTGTTATTAAATTCCCAGAGGGCCCCACCCTATACCATATCTCAGTCACAGCTATGTTCATTTAAGGAAAAGAAACAGTATCAACCATAAAACAACTTTAATTTTTGTCCATGTCTTTAAACATTTGCACATACATACCACTTTATTTCTAAAATCTTTGCATACAGATATTACCCTGGTATCCAATTCCTGTTAAATGCTGAAATATATATTTATTTTATTTCAACTTCCCTTTTATCATGTCCTCTTCATTTTTATGAAAAGGTGCAGCTCTCCTTAAGAAACTGATTT